TGTCTCTCTCTGTCAAATAAATAAATAAAATCTTAAAAAAAAAAAAAAGATACCTTTTCCCCCTCCTGATTTCTTACTTTTATTCCTACCAACTCATTGCAGTATAATTTACTATCTAACTCACATAGACATGTATGGTGGAGGAAAAGAATAAAACTTTGGCTAATGGAAGTATACAAAACAGTATTTTCAGGTTTTTTTTTTTAAGTAAAAGAACATTTAAATATTAAAGCTATCGTAATAATAGCAATGAAGTGGAAGATACATATGATAAAAACCACTGCATAATTATATTAAAATAACCAACTTTTAGATTTATTGATCTTAAAGACAACTAAATTTTACTAGTTGCAACTTAAACAGAATTACATAGTAATAGATGTCTCTCTTTAGAAACTGGATCAGTTTATCTCTAGTTTCCTGACAAAAACGCCAAGTCAACCATGCCACTTCACTGTTTATTTCCTGCAGACTTTAGGTAAACCTCAACACCTATTTTCATTTGAGGAGTGACTGATACACAATTTTCTTTTAAGCAGAACTTGATGCTGAGCTACAAGTAAACTAAGTTGGATTTCAGGCCCATTGGCAGGCAGGCAGGCAGTAATCATTTTTCAAATTGCAGGCAGCCCATGGTGGTTGTCAGTTATATATTGAATCTCTATGGACATGCTGGAAAAATCTATGAACACAATCTTCCCATGCTGTATTCACATGCTCCATTCACCATTCACATCTTTAGCTTACCCAGGTTGTTAGAGGTTTGGGTAAGATGACTAAAGATTTCATGATGGAGATTTCTATAAGAAAAAAAAGAAAACTTTAAAGATTGATTTCTTATAAAAAATTGAGTATTTACTGGGTACTTTATACTAAGTAATATGCCTAATAATGGCTAAATGCAATTCAAATGAACAACCATACATAATTTCAAAAGATGACTTTTTTGCTGATACCTAAAACAAAGCAACCAAAGAAAAATCAGATACACTGGACATCATCAAAATTAAAAAGCTTTGTGCTTCCAAGGACATACTATCTAGGAAAAAAAAAAAAAGACAAACCACAGAATGGGAGACAGTATTTGAAAGTCATGTATCTGGTAAGGATCTAGTATCCAGAATATATAAAGAACTGTTGCAACTCAACAGTAAGAAGACAACTCAATTTAAAAACAGGAAAAGTATTTCTGTAAAGATAAACAAATGGCCAATAAATACATGAAAAGACATTCCACATTAGTCACTCAGGAAATGAAAATAAAACCCACAATGAGGTACCACTTCACACCTACTGAGATGGCTACAATAAAAAAGATGGACAATGACAAGCGCTGGTGAAGATATGAAGAAATGAGAACCCTCAGCTACTGCTGGTTGGAATGTAAAATGGTATAGTAGCTTTGGAATACAGTTTGACAAATTCCCCAAAAAGTTAAACATGGAGGTCTCATACGACCTAGCAATTCTACTCTAGGTTTATACTCAAGAGATTTGAAAACATAAGTCACACAAAAATTCTTATATAAATATTCATAGCAGTATTATTGCCTAAAAGTGAAAAACCACTGAAATGCCCAATGACTGATGAATGGATGGATGAAGGTGTAGTATATCAAAGAAATATTAAAACTATTTTTTACTTCTAAAACTATAAAAACGAGTTAAGTGTTGATGATGTATGCTACAACATGGATGAACCTTAAAAACACAATGCTGACTGTAAGAAGCCAGATATAGGAAGCCACATAGTGTGCGATTTCACTTCTATGATATGTTCAGAACAGGCAACTCCACAGAGAACAGACTGGTGGCTGCCAAGGGCTAGGGAGAGGCAGGAACAGGAAGTGACTGCTAATGGGTACGGGGTTTCTTTTTGGGGTGATAAAAAAAAATGTTTAGAATTAAAAAGTGATGGTTGTGCAACTCTGTGAATATATTAAAAACCACTGAATTTTACATTTTAAAAGGGTGAATTTTATCAATTTTGTAAAAAGAAGTGATTCTTGGCAAAAAAAAAAAAAAAAAGGGCTTTGCACTTAGGAAACACAAAATCTTTATACCTCAAAAGAAATTCTACTTTTAAAACTACACAACAGGTTGAGCTAAAACCAGATTCCTTAAGGCATAAAACATTTTTAAAATTTATCTTCGTATCTCCAGCACTATGCCAAATGAAAGTTAGTAGATCTGAATTACTAATCCCACTACCTCTCTTTCCTTATAGTTCTAACACCTAGCCTTGACCCCCCAAATTATGTTATTTGCTTTTGACTAGAATTCATCATAATCAGAAAACTTCATCACGAACAAATTCCATAAAAGCAAAGATAACAGAAACAAGTGGGACTTACTAAATTTAGCATCCTTAATTCATAAACTAGATCATGTCCTTGCCTTATACTAGTCACATATACAAAAGGTGATACGAAATGGATGAAATACAATTCTCCTCTACACGCGCAAATTCTAGGCATACAGAGGCAACCCATATAAAATGTCATTATTAAAACAGGTAAAGGAGCAATAAAAAAGGGGGGAACATACATAAATTCTACTTAACTGAGCGCATTTTTATTTACTGGGCCGATCTACCTTGTCATACTTTACTTTGGACTATTTAAAAAAAATCTGAATGGTTGGAGAAAGTTCACGGAAGTCAGAACTGGCATTTTTAAATCTCTGAGAGATAACAGAAATATACAAATAGCTAAGTTATTTGCCTGAGGTAATGCCCAGTTATAAAGTTCTATTATTTACAGATGGAAAGGACCTTTAACAAAAGAAGCCTGTTGTTTTTTTGTTTGTTTAGAGGAAGAATCCAAGGCCAGGTAGATTAAGTGATCTAAACACTGAGAGTGCCTGAGTCCAGTGAGTCATCAGAACTGTTTCCCCACATCAAATCAACATCTACACCACACATTAGCCCAGAGACAATGACCAGCTAACAAGATCTCCTCAGAGGATAAAGAGCTGGGAATGCATTTACCAATTTCTTCTTTCTGATGTATAAGATATGAATATCCTCGCTTCGATATTCTTCATCATGTTTCTCCAAAGGAATTTTTTCAAAGTCAAAGTCTAGCTGGAGGAGCTATAAATTTAAGAGAGATATACTTCAAATTCAGTAATACGAAGTTTCCTGTGGTGACAGAAGTCAGAGTGACAGTTAACTTTGGAGAAGTACTGACTGGAAAAGGGCACATGGGTGCCTTCTGAGGTCCTGAAAATGTTCTATTTATGTAGGGTGGTGGTTGCTTGGGTGTATACAAATGAAAAATTGAGCCGAGCACTTGATATGTGTGCATTTTACATGTGTTTTGACTCAATTTAAACTGTTTAACGATACAGAATTTTCAATTATAGTCTCAAGAGTTTATTAACATTCTTTACTTTCAAGAAAAACATGAAAATAAAAACAATTTTAGCACCTATCTGAGGCAGAGTCATGTATCTGCATTCTTACTTAAGCGAAGTAGTCCCATCAGTGGCTAAACTGCAGGACTGTGTAGGTGTACCCTCAAGAGGAGTCACTTACAATGTGATGGATTTTTGCCCATCAAAAGGGTTTGGATGACCACTGGGGGAAGATGGGTGAAAGATACATGGGGCTCTATGTACTACTTTTTCAACTTCCTGTGAGTCTTTAATTATTTAAAAATAAAAAGTCAAAAAAACCCAAAAAACAAAAAACACCCCAGAAAGTAGACAGCATTTCTTGGTTGAAGCTTTCATAAAAATGGTAGAGATAAGCACAGAAGTAAAAACATATCACATATGTTTCTATGACGTACTTTCCAAAAGTAATACACATGTCATCAATATGTTCCCAAAAGCCAGCATCATATTTAATAAAGAAACATGGAAAACTTTCCCAGAAAAGACAAGGGTGTCACCATTATTATTTTAGGTTGTTCTGTAGATACTAGATCAACTTATTAGAAAAGAAAAAAAAAAAAGGACCAGAAAAGATGAAAAAGGTGGAGGGGAGAAGCTTAGTAGAATGGTGGGCAATGAAGGATACTCTCCACGGATTCATACAAGCAGAATGTGTTCCCCACTCAAAATTACCATAATATACTTGAACACATGGTCACATAAAGCATCAGTGAAGTCACATAAAGCACTACAAAAACAGATCTAGTACTTACCTCAAAATATTTTTTCTCAATTTCTGGATTTTTTCCCATTGTTCGTTGTTCGTAACAACATATAATACAAGTCTCAAATCCACTAAGATCTTTTAGAGTTTTCAACAATGGCTCCAAAGACTGTTCAAAAAGGAGTATCACTTTTACTTTATGATTTTCAAAAATTTCTATTTTTACTATAAAAGGGGGATGGGGGAAGTGGAGAGTAACTATAACTCCCCTCCAATTTATCCATCTTTGAATCAGTCAACAAAGTACATGGGTTAAAGCTCTGTAACTAATGATTGGTAAACTCCTCTTCACTAATCAACCTAATCAATTTATTTCAATTTCCAAAAGACTCAAATGACTGCATTTTGGAGTTCCCATAGGAAAACAAATGAAACTGACCTCACTCTTAAAAAATTAATTTTATTTAATCTATTTTAACTTGGGATTTTACCCACAAAAGTAAGTCTGACCCTAACTTGAACGTAAGTTAGTTCAATGTTTGTTATTTTAAAAAATGTGATGCCCACAATATGAAACAAACTGATATTTTTAAAAATATCATTCTGAATCAATCTTGCCATAGAACAATGAATTCTTTACAATGCAACTTAATTCTCAATGTCATGGTTAACATGTTCCCTAGGAAGAGCTTAAAAAAAAAAAAAACCTTAGCTTTTCAGAAACCGATCCAAATAGCAAAACCTTTAAAATATTACAGAAGCCTCTAGTAAAATGCACATAACACTTTTGTCAACATGTTTCACAGGTCTTTTGTTTATCACGAGTATATGTATATAGTTCCTGGTAACCTTTATGTTCTTTACTGTGTCATCAACTATAGGACAAATATCCTGCCTTCAGAAATGTTAAAATGTGAAGAAATGTGCACTTTGGAATCCACAAATTATGGTACAAATTCTCAAGATGGACACTTCACTCACTGAATACTTACCTCTTCATAGTATATGCAGTCAGCCATCAGTATGTAGTCTGGCGGAGAAGTCAAGTCTTCTATTTCTTCCCCCCTTAAAAATGTCAAGCAGATATTTTAACTGTTGCTTTAATAATTTAAAATATTGTTTTATAAACAAGTTCTGGAAAGTTCCCTTCGTATTAACTATGCTTTTAGTGAAACGCAATTTAAAGCAAACTACAAATCGTTATCTTAAAACAAGCTGAAAGGCCATACAAACCATTTCAGTACCTTGGCTTGAACAGAACCAGTGACAAGATGCTTGTTCATATTAATATTCATCTTCAGCAAGTCTTGCAATTCCTCAAGATCTGTGACCACAACATCAGCCCTATAAAATAACGTCGATCGAAGTGTAGGCACAAACGTGCTAAACCACTAATCCGGGTTTCCCGAACAAAGCGGCACCCCCTCCTGCCAGCTCTTACCCAAGGGTAGCAGCCATGAGCCCCACGGCCCCAGTGCCGGAGCCCAGCTCCAGCACCGATCGCCGGCTCAGAGCGTGGGCCCCATCGCCGGAAAACCCGGGCGTTTCCAAGTACTTAGAAAGGACAATGGCAGCATCCCAAACAACGCAGCCCACGCCGCCGGAGCCATACTGCTGCAGTCGTAACACCGTGCCATCTCGCTTTTCCAAAACTCGAACGAAGTTCCGCAGTGGGTCCTCCACCGAGGACTCCAGGGTAGCCGCCATCGCTGCCAGGAAACAAGATGCGGCGGGCGCAGTGACGTCACACCCACACGCACCGCCCCAAGGCCGGCCTGAAGAGGGCCCGGCGCCTCCTAGTGGCGAAGTTGGCGCCAAGGCGCGTGCGCAGAAGCACAAAAACTGGGAAGGCAGCATTACGGGCGCGTGCTTGAGCACCGGACCACACGCTTCCCAGGCATGTAGGTCGGCCTCCTCTAAATTACAAGCCTGGCTTAACAAGCAGGCAGCTTAAATTACTCTTCCAGACAAGCTAATATTGTCACCTGCTCTTTACCTGGGGTGTTTTTACCTGGAGACTAATTCACTCGGTAGTTACTGGCCTTAAATCCAGGCAGCTTCCAAGATCGTACCAAGAAGGGTATAATCCTCCTTACGAAGAGTTTCCTAGCATGCTCCTAATTTTTCATCTGAATACATAAAAATGGTTGCTGGAAGCTTGCTGATTGCGTTTTAACAGTTAAGACAAAGTTATCCTTCTAAAATTTACATCACTTACATTCCTTGGGATTATGTAATTTAAGTTGCACAAAATATTGAAAATAATGTGGGTGTATGTATTTCCACAGAACTCAACAATCTCTCCCCTTGTTCCTTATAATGAAAACACGTATTTAAAAGTCTTTTAAAAATTAAGACTGGGGTGATTTATTAATCTTGTTAAGAACTCTGATACAAAGCACAGTAAAAGGCCACAGACCAGTAAATAAACAACGTGGCTTTTGGCTACTTTACAACTGCTGCTACAGCACTATCAGCAAAACACGCTTTTTCATCACTTTGAACCCAGGAGTCCAAATGGCAAATAAAACTTTTACTCACTTCTCTGAATAAAAAGTTTAATAAAGCTTTAAGTATGTTTGCTGGTTTAGATGTTACCAATCTAAAAAAATTTTTTTTTAATTTTAGTTAACATGAGATTTATAGAGAAAGTTACTAGGTTTTGAGGGCAAGGCAGTTGGTTCCTGTGCCTAAGAAATTTTCCTCTGAATCTCTCAATTAGTAAAGTAGCAGATTGTATTATAGGCCTCGAGTCACTTAAATTTATATAGGTTATTAGCATTATCTTTAAATATACAATATAAACAAAACTGTACATACATGGCATATTAATTAACTTTGTTTTCCAATAGGCAACTCATCAGCTAAAGACACCATAGTCTGCAAAAACAAAAGGCACATCTGAATGAGATACATGCCCTTTTTCCCTCTATGATTGGGTTAGGTAGTCTCTGTATACATTTTGACAAAATAATGAACACAGTGCATTCTATTATTTTCATTCTATTTTTCATTTTTGTCTTCAGCAGCAAATTCTGGCATTTAAGACATGGCATTAAAGAGTTTAAGAACAGTGGGTGTTTTTCACAATTCTCTTAAGTGTAAAAATTAGAAGTAAAAACTATAAGATGGTCAAAGAGTTTTAAAAATCAGTAATACCATACACGCCCTATATTTGTGTAAATTCATTGCCTTAAAAAGGCATCTATTACCCAAATTTGAAAAATTCCACAAATGCACTATCCCCTTTCAGTGCAATCAATGTCACTTTAAACCATACTTTAGCAGAGTCTACAGTGCAAATATAAATTCTTTATACTGGCCTTTTGGCAGCACTGAGGATCCAAGACAAGGCAATGCTACTGATCACCTGAGGATAATGATAAAGGACTTCTGTATTTTTATTTTTCCGATTTTTAAAAGCTTATTTGATCAGTAGCATTTTTGTAAGAGCATTATTTGTAAAAAGTACTAAAATACTATGCCTTTTTTTGAATAAATTAAAAAAAAACCCTTTACAAATACCATTCCAGTGTCAATGACTACATATGGCTAAGGTCATTGAGGAGTTTCCGCATTTTCTAGCAAAGGCAGTCTGTATGACGGAGGGTGCGAAAGCTCCCGTTTGTAAGTCTTTGGTGGCAGTTTTGGTAGGTGAGGGCTTGAATTCTGCCTTGGTGGAACAGGGGGAGCTTGAGGATGAGCAAGGTTGTTGTGACTAGAACTGAGCATGTAGCATCGACGTGGTACTCTCGGAGAGGGTGTGCTAGGAGGAGTATTTGGCGAATTTGGACAGGTACTAACGTCTCTGAACCAGTCTGGATCTCTGTGAAGATGTCCTAGTGGAGGTGGCTGAAGATTAAATGGACAGTTTATAAAGTGTTCTGGAGGCCGAAGGGGAACTGGTGGAGGGGTATCAGGAAGAGGATCTCTTGGCGGTGGTGGAGGTGGACTATGCAGAGGCCCATCAAATGCACCAGTAGGAGCAGGAACTCTGGGTTTTACCTTTGGAGGAGGAGGTTGTCTTGGTGGAATAGCAGGGGGGTCATCATCAGATTTCGTATTTCCCTCAAAAAAAAAAAAATTAAATTATACCTCCATTCTCCTGAAAAATCTGTTAAGCTTTAAAAGACTGAAAAATTCTTATGTGTTCAGTTAAATCCAGAAGCTCAAAATAGGTTAATCTGATTTAATGATCAGATTCATGAGTAAAATACTCCCAGTTTAATTTAGGGCCTAGTTTAATATTTTTATATATGAGATGTTTTAATTGAAATCTTAGAATATAAAGCCTCACCTTTCAAAAATTTATGAGTTTTAATTGTAATAGGCAAGTGAGTGAAAGGAATACATAGCTTTGTAGACGTTAAAGGACATGATGTCAAGGGAACTCGAAGTCCAGCTTCTGCCTTCTGGTCATCTTCTTTTCCCAGTAAGGCTTACCGTGGTGGTTCTCAAAGTGTGATCCAGGGACCAGCAGCATCAGTACCAGTAGGGAACTTGTTAAAAAATGCAAATTCCTGGGTCCCACCCTAGACCTACTGAATCAGAAACTCGGCAATCTGCTTTTAACAAGCCTCCCAGGTGATTCTGATGCAGCCTGAAGTTTGAGAATTACTGGTTTAAATTTGAAGAATGCTTTGAATACTAAAGTTCTTCCCCTTTCTACCAGAAAGAAAACACACTTCTGAGTATCTGTGAATCTGCCCAGCCTCTTTTTAGAAAAAAATATTAACAAGAATTAAGCAATTATTTAAAGTATTTTTCAAATAAAACAACCAAAATGTTTAAATACCATACAGGGTAGCCAAATTGTAATTGACAGACTTTTTATAAGAACGAGAATTATTTTGAAGATTCACAACTTTGAATAAATTGAATAAGCTAAGGCAAACCTGAGTCCTGTTGGCTACCTTGGAATTTGAAGCGTCATGATCAAACTTCTTTCGAGGAGGAAGCGGAGGAGGAATCAGCAGCTGCTCTTCACTTAGTTTGTGTAAACTGCCACATGAACTGAAGAAAGACTCTGGGGGTAAGAAAGATTAGTTTCACCACAATTCACAGTGCAAGCGTAAGACAAGACTTTATCTCAATCTGTGATCACCTCTGCTATAGTAAATGTCAAACTGTACTGTACTCAACTGTTGGTTGACCTATACTCTGCACTTAACTGCAAGCTTTTTGAGGGCAGGGCATATTCATTTTTGTATCCCTAAGCACTAGCACAGTGGTAGTGCTTGGCATCTGGGAGATACTACAGCTACATGAAAATATACAATTTAAGTAAGATTAATAATGAGATTCTGCTCCCTGAAAAACCTTTTTAAATCTAAAACACACAAAACAAACATATTTGTATAAACTGTGGTAACTTCCAGAGAAAGATCATACATAATCAGAGACCTTGTGTTTTTGAAGCAGCGAGTATCAGATACATTTCTACAAAGGTAATAAAACCTCCAAATAGGAGACCAAAAGGTAGGGTTGTATCAAATAACCCTTTCTCTTTGCAAATTTCTCAGTGATAAAGGACATGTTATATAACCACATTAAAGAGAATTTACAAAATAATAAAGCATTCAGGGGAAAATTCTATGCCAAAGACATAGAATAAGAACTATTTATTTATTTTTCATATGATAAAAAAAAATACCTGTAGTTATGGACCAACTCTGTTTGTTGACCAAGACTTGTTATAAAAGCAGTGCCCATGTCTTGTTGATCATTATATTAAGATTGGGCTCACAGGAACTAGTTGGGAAAGTTGATGAGTTTAATTTTAAACACACTGAGTGTGAACTCCTTATGTGATATCCAAGTAAAGATGTCAATCTCATTACTCCATGTAAAAAACTGCTGTCCTGATCTTGTGACTCTGCAGTCACTTCATGGGTCCTGTTGACTCAGGGTGTCAAAAGTAGAAAAAGTATGCCTATGGGGTGTTGGCGGATGGTGTGGGAGGTCAGGCAGAGCACTATCTGCTGTAGATATATTCCTTTTGCCTGACCAGCATCTTATGCCCTGTCTTTGGGAGCAAACTACTCTTGGTGATAGTGAATCTATCCCATGTGGTTTAGTTGGCCAGTTTGGCCCAGTGCACCCCAACTCCAATCAGAGAAATAACTAGTGTTGGTGAGGATGTGGAGAGAAGGGAACCCTCATGCACTATTGGTGGGAATGTAAACTGGCACACCCACTGTAGAAAACAATATGAAGGCTCCTCAAAAAAGAAAAAAATAGAAATACCATATGATCTTGTAATTCCACTACTATTTACCCAAAGAAAACTAAAACACTAGTTCAAAATGCACCCCTATGTTCACTGGAGCATTATTTACAATAGTCGAGAGATGGAAGCAACCCAAGTATTCACCAACAGATGAATGGATAAAGAAGATAATATGGCACTTGCACGTGAGCGTGCGCACACACACAGAGGAATACTGCTCAGCCACAAAAAAGAATGCGATCTTATCATTTGCAACAATATGGATGGACCTAGAGGGTATTAGGCTAAGTGGTATAAGTCAGACAAAGAAAAATACCATATGATTTCACTTATATGTGAATTCTGAAGAACAAAACAAAACAAAAAGAAACAGACTCATAAATACAGACAACAAACTGGTGGCTGCCAGAGCGGAGGAGGATAAGGGGATGGGCGAAATAGGTGAAGGGGATTAAGAGGCACAAACTTCTAGTTATAAAATAAGTCAGAGAAATAAAAAGTACAGCATAGGGAATATAGTCAATAATACTGTAATACTATATGGTGACACAGAGTGACTACACTTGTGGTGAACACTGAGTAATGGAGAGAATTGTCAAATCACTATGTTGTACATCTAAAACTAATATATCATTGTATGTCAACTATACTTCAATAATAAATACTTAAAAAAAAACACTTTATTTTTTAAAAAGTAAGCTCTATGCCCAACACGGGGTTTGAACTCATGACCCTAAGATCAAGAGTCGCATGCTCTACTCACTGAGCCAGCCAGGCACCCCAGTAATAAATACTTTTTAAAAAGTAAAAAAGAAAAAAAAGAGGTGGGCATGGGACTCACTTCTCACCTTCTTAACATGATCAGATTTTTATCTATTCCCCTTCATGCATGCAGCCCTGTGTTTTGCTCCGGGGAGCTGACCTTATCCCATAGCTCCAAAGATGGGGCCTGATTAGACCAAGTCAATCAGTGTAATCCATTCCTTCATCCAGAGTGACTGATGTAGCTGTAGGCATGTGACCTAGTTCAGACCAGTGAAATGTGAAAGATCTGCTAGCGGCTACCAAAAAGAAAGTTCCTTGCCCTTCTGGAAAAGCACTCTGCCAGTCTGTCTCTGTACCTCTCTCTTTCCTTCTTACCTGACAGAACAAAAAAGCATACAACTATTATTGTTCCTGCCACCACTCTTATGACCTTGAGGGAAAACAGCCTTAGGTAAAACTGATAATTTGGACACAACATTGAAGAGGCAAAAGAAACCTGGTCTTTGATAACATCACTGAGCCACTGATTCAACAAGTCTTAAAGCAGCCTTCCTCTAGACTTCCAATTATGTGAGTCAGAATGCTTTTTTATTGTTTAAGTCAGACTTAGGTGAGTCTTCTCTTCCTTACAGAAATACACACTCATGGAAGCAGAAAATATCTGAATGATGGTGGAAAAGCTGTGAGAGTTTTTGAATACAGGTCTGACTCTACAGGAGACCACTTAACCACTATGTTATACTTCTTCATAGCGGGCCCTCAATAACGCTTGATGAACTGTGAACACAGTTTTATTTTCTATCAAGAGCACTTCCCTATATGATCAGTTTTTGTAAGCATTTTTAATAGTTTCAGTGTTCCAAACTAATGAATGTAGAATAAATTACTAAATGATTTCTATAATGTTAGATAGGTAAGTCACTTCCAATTTTTTGACATCCATCCATCCGTTTTTTCAACAAATACTTACTGCATAACTGCTACAGTGTCAGGGGCTGTTCTAGGCACTATAGCTAGAGTAGTGAACAACAACGGGCAAAAATTCATGTCCTTATGGAGCTTATATTCTAGGTTGGGGAGAGAGAACAGATTTGGTAATTAAGTATTATGGCTATAAATTAGAAGAAGAAATATTAGGTAGGGAAGGTGGATAGGAAGAGATAGGAGGGGAGCAATTTTAAATGGGGTGACTAGGGAAGACCTCACTCAGGTAATAATGGGCAAAAACCTGAAGGAGGCATGAGAGTCTGCAAAGTGGCCAAATAGGTGAAGAGCATTCTAAGCAGAGGGAATGGCAAAAGCAGAAGTCTTGATGTGGGAATGTGTCTATTGTGTGCAGGAGGCAGAGTAGCTGGAGTAGAGTAAGTGATGGGGGTGAATACTAGGTGAAGTCTGACATATCAAAAGAGGCTAAAATGCATAGAACCTTCTGGGCCCTTTAAAAGAACTTTGGCTTTTACTTTGAGATAGCCACTGGAGGGCTTCAAGCACAGGTGAGACAAGTCTAACCTACATTCTTTTTTTTGGTCTGACCTACATTCTAAAACAACCTGGCTGCTATACTGAAAACAGACTATGGGGAAGACGGGAAGTTAGGATGCCACTATAATAAACCAGGTAAGAGATTATGGTGGCTTGGATCAAGGTGATAGCAGAAGAGATGGTGAGAAATAGATTCTGGATATATTCTGAGGGTAAACAAGATTTGTTGATGAATCACATTTGGGGTATGAGAAAAAGAGAGAAGTAAAAGATAACTCATATTTTTAGCCCAAGCAATTAGATGCAGTTTAGAACTGGGATAAGGAGGCAGTGGGAAGAACATCTTTGGAGGGGATGAAAACAAGCTCAGTTTTGGAGAAGTTTGAGATTCCTATTAAGTATGTAAATGGAGATGTCAAATAGGTTACTGAGTATATGGGTCAAAAGGTCAAGAGAGAGGTTCTAGGTAGAGGAAAAAATTGGGGAATTATCATTATACAGATGATATAAGACTGAATGGGCCAACCAAGTGAGTGAGAAGAGGTCCAGGGACTGAATCTTGTGGTCTTCCAATCTTTACAGGTTGGGGATATGAAGAGAAACAAGCAAGAGAGACTAGGGAGCTGAAAGTATAGTTAGAGAAACTAAGAGAGTGGAATGAACAATGTGATCTTCACGTATGTGACTTCTTCCCAAAAATGATATTTTGTATAAATGAAGACAGAAACTTGGTCTTTTTTGTTTGCCACTGAATCTACAGTACCTAGCAGGGTAACTGGTACAAAGTAAGTATTCAATTTCCTATTGAATTAAGACCAAAGGGTGTGAATATTTTTATGGTTTGACATGTTGTTTACAGATTTCTTTCCAAAAGGGTCATACTAATATACCAATTTACAAGGGATGAGTAATGTATGAGAGTAACTTCTAACACAGGCTTGCTCAGACTTTGATGTGAACGGTCTATTCATGTCCATTGTTAATGAAGTCTTGCTGTTTTTTCCCATTGTATGTGAGCACTTTTCATACATACTATGTTCTTTCTTTCAGGATTTGTTTTAGGAGAGTCAGAATTTTATGCAGTTATTCTCAACATTTTCCATTAAATTTCAAAATGAAATTTTCCTTATCATATGGAAAATGTATTTTACTGCCATCCAAAATAATGTCTAGAACTCCTGATTCTAAAATCACTTGGTGTTATGGGTTGAATTGTGTCCCCCCAAGAGATATGCTGAAGTGTTAACCCCCAGTACCTGTCAACACAACCTTATTTAGAAATAGGGTCTTTACAGATATGTAATCAAGTTAGGACGAAAGTGGGCTTTAATCCAGTATGACTGAGGTCTTTTAGAAGGAGAGGAGAAGGGACAAAGAAACATGCAGGGAGAAGATGACCATCTGACAACAGAGGTAGAGACTGAGATGATGCACCCATAAACCAAAGGAGGCCAAAGATTGTCAGCAAAGACCAGAAGCTAGAAGAGGCAAAGAAAGATTCTCTCTTCCATGTTTCAGAAGGAGCAAGGCCCTGCCAACCCCTTGACTTGGGGACTTAGAGCCTCCAGAACTGTGCTCTTCTAAGCCACTTAGTCTGTGGTACTTTGTTGGAGCAGCACTAGAAGAAACTAATATACGTAGTAAAAACATCACCCAGAACAACAAGGAAAATAAGAAACAAACTTCAGTGAAGCCGGGAAACATCTGAACCCTGAAGTTTCAATACATGAAGGTGGACTACAATGTATATGAAGAGACAAATGGAGAAGATGAAACCCAAATGTCTACAGTTAATGATACTGACAAACAGCACTTAATGTGCCCCCACAGAATGAAAGGAGTGATCAGGAGTTAAAGGCACTTGGTATAATGAAAGACATGGGCATGAAAAACAGAAGACCTGATTAAATCTAAATAAGGAGGAATTAAAACTCTGTGGGAGACTGGGGGTTTTATTTTCTGGTGAATCTAAACATCAGACTAGAGCCAGCAGACCGTGCTGAAAACACAGATTTTCATACTAAATGTTCAGACCACCCAGGCAGAATATTCAAAGATCTTTCTTTGGAAAAATTAAACAGTCCTAGAAAGGAGGCCTCATAGATTCTGATGTTTGGGGATTTCCTAAATAAAAAAACTTCTCATCACTCTAGAGTGAAACCTACACGTCAACGAGCTCTGCCCGTGGATACAGAATTTCCCATCAGTTTATACTGCCTCACTCTAAAATATGGAAAGCTAAGGAGACCAGACAAGAAAGGAAAGACAGAAAGACTCCAACATGAAAGACAATAGACTAAACTAACAGATGCAACTCAGAAAGGAAATAAAACCAGAAACAATTTTTATTTTTTCAAGAACACTATAATCACTATAATATCCTATGGGAGATAAGACAGTGAATCCATGAAACCAGAATAATAGGATGACATAAAATTGGCATGAACAGAGGAAACTAGAAAGAATTTTTGGGGAATTCAAAATCATGATAGATTAAAAAAAAGAGTTGGAAGATGAAGTGAAATCTTGCAGAAAACCACAAGAAAACAAAGCGATGGACAATAAGAGATAAAAGACAAGAAAACTGGAGGCTCAATCTAGGATATACGATATAGAAAAGGAACTCAAAAAGCAAGTCAGAGAACATGTTTGGGAGGAAATTATTAACAAAACCATATGAGGAACATTTTCAAGAAATCAAAGACATGAATCTCTAAATTTAAAGGGCTTAATAAGTAGATAGCAAAATGAAAGGAAAAAATGACTCATATTAAAGCAGATCATTGTGAATGTATAGATCATCAAGAATAAAGAGAAGATTCTACAACTTTCTTGAATATACTGTGGCAGAGACTTCTAACTGTCCCCCAGTGTACCTTTCTTTTTCTTCCTTTAAGTAATAGGATCCCATGTATTTTAGCAAGACAAAAGGCTGCCTAACTACAGACAAGATTTCTCAGCCCCCCTTGTAGCTAAGTTTTGACCAATGGAATGAGAGCAGGAGTAATGCAAGCAACTCCCAGATCATGTTTTTCTTTTCTTTTTTAAAAAGATTTTAATTTATTTGAGAGAAAAAGAGAGAGAAAGAGAGCATGAGCAGGGGGAGGGTCAGAGAGATAGAGGGAGAAGCAGACTCCCCCCCTGAGCAGGGAGCCCGACTTGGGGCTCGATCCCAGGACCCTGAGATCATGACCTGAGTCAAAGGCAGCACCCAACCAACTGAGCCACCCAGGCGCCCCGCAGATCATGTTTTTCTAACAAAACCTACTGACCTTCACCTTCCTGCTGGCTGGAAAATGGTAACAACTGGAGTTGCTCAAAACTCAGAGATGGAAGCCCCATTTTGAGATTCCTGAATTGCCCTACTAGCTTGTGGAACAGAGGTATCTACTTGCTCTGGCTATTGTGAGAAATAGAGTTCTATTTCATTTAAGGTTCTGTATTTTTGGGTCCCTTTGCTACAGCAAGTATACTCTAGTTTTAAAAAAAGGATTGAAACTAGAGGGTCATTGACAGATTTCTATTTTGTTCAGTGCCACATCTCTTGCACCTAGAATTGTGCCTGCACATATCAGATGTTTAAAAACTATGCATGAACAATTTATGAGTGAATGACACTGGACTTCTAAACAGCAAGTTTGAAAGCAAGAAGACCATAGGAAAATACCTTCAAAATTCTTGGTGAAAAGGATTTATAATTCTATACCCAGACAAACTATTAACAATTAAATATATTAAATACATTTTCAGAAATACAAAAACTTAAACACTTTTTATCTTTTTATCCTTTCTCAGGTAGCTACTAGAGGATGTGCCTCTACCAAAATAAGGGAGCATATCAAGAAAGAAGACAAGGAGTCCAAAAAAACAAGGATCCAACACAGGAGAGAGGTGAAGGAATTTCTAGGATGACAGCTGGGTGAGAGGCCAAGAGAGCAACCAGTCCAAACTGGAGCAGAACAAAAGGGCACCAGGAAGGAAGTTTCCAGGTTAAACAGCAAAACGAAAATCCTGACAACTGTCCTTAGTGGTCTGACCTTATGGAAAACTGCGCTAAGAAAGGGTGTGAGCAACAGATGTTTGAAAAACCAACCAACAAACAAAAACACCTAAGCATTAATGAGTTTATCATTAACTTCATGAAACAGAGGAAACATAATCACAGTATACACTACTTGACCTAATAGTGAATAATATTTTCCCAAAATGTGACAAGTATATTAGAATAAAGGGCAAAATTCTCATCTACTGTAATAGGAAATCAGTGTCTAAAACTAATGATTCAAAAGAGAAAAATATGAAAACACCATTTAAAAATGTGAAAGTGTCACTGGAGAACAAGAAAAGACATGGGGAGACATGGGGTAGGGGACTGCTAGCAATTTCATTTTCAGTGTTTAGCACTATTAGCCTTTTAAACTATATGCATATATCACTTTGATAAAAATTTAAATATTAAAATATAGAATTGTAAACATTTAAAAGACTAACCTTACTTTTCTCATTAGACAGGAACTCTCTTGCTACTACCTAAATTATATACATTTTAATATCATAGAAGCAGAAGTCCTCCAGATTGGGGGAATTATTCCTGAAGCTACTCTGTACCTTTTTGGGTGGTGGTGGTGGTTGTTGTTTTTAAAGATTTTATTTAATTATTTGAGAGAGAGAAAGAGCAAGAGAGAGCACAAGCCGGGGGGTTGGGGGGGAAAGGCAGAGAGAGAAGCAGACTCCCCGCTGAGCAGGGAGCCCGACACACAGGGCTTGATCCCTGGACCCTGAGATCATGACCCGAGCAGAAGGCAGACGCTTAACAGACTGAGCCAGGCACCCCTGGGTTGTTTTAAACAAATGACCGTAGAAAGAATGGTGACAGCATTTACATTATGAAATAACTGAGAATGGCAGAATAGTGTTTTACTAAAATAACTGCCTTAACTAAATAAGATCAAGTGAAGAAACAAGTGATCAAGGGCTAGTCTGGGAACCTGATAAACATTTAAATATATAATCCACATAGGAAAATGAGTTGGGATGGGAAAGAGGAGAGGCAACTGATATGAAATCACTGTTCATTCTGTGCCAACCAATATGCTTGGTGCTCTACATTGTTATCTCATTTGATCCTTAACAGGGTTGGAGATGCTAAGTAATTTGTTCAAGGTCGAACAGCCCCTAGACCACAGGTAAGTTGTAAAATGATGAAAACTATAGTAAAGTTTAAATAGTACCCAGTTGTAAGCAAATAACTAAATTTATTTATAAGAATTTCATTTTTTAAAAACTTTTTAATGTTGCTAAAACCCAAATACTCATATACAAATTTTTTTTTTTTTTAAAGATTTTATTTATTTGACAGAGACATAGCAAGAGAGGGAACACAAGCAGGGGGAGTGGGAGAGGGAGAAGCAGGCCTCCTGCTGAGCAGGGAGCCTGATGAGGGGCTCAATCCCAGGACCCTGGGATCATGACCTGAGCCTAAGGCAGACACTTAATGACTGAGCCACCCAGGCACCCCTCATATACAAATTTAATCAACTTGATTAATTTCATTATCATTAATCAACTCAAATTCTTACTTACTTGAGTGTGGCAAGAGGACTGGAGCAAAGATGCTATTGCTGCCTATTGGAATGAGAAAAATTAATTTGAAAAGAAAGGTAGTATGCATGGTTTTATTTTAAAAATATTTTTGCATAAAGTAACAAATGTAGTAACACAGAGAGTACAGAATTTTATCGTCCTCTAGTGACATGTTAGTTTTAAAAGAAATGAACCGGAAAGTTAGCTTTGTAGCTGGAATGTCATTCCTTTCTCAGTTCCCTCTCTATCACAGTCACTTTTTAAATCTCCTTCACAAAACTTATCTGCTTGTTGTCTTACTCTCTGTTGCTCCCTTAAGAGCAGTAGTATGAGGCCCAAAGGGTACTAAATAAATCTTCGTTTAATGAATAAATTAGAAAATAAGATGCATAAACAATGCACAAATGATGCTTCAGTCCCTTGTGTTAATCATTATTTTCACATTTAAATGCCACTTTCCACACTAATATAGTTCCCTAATTAAAATGAGAAGAATTATCTGAAACATCAGATTCCTTTTTTACTAAATGGTTTACATCAAATACATACCACAGGAATTGTTGAGATCCACATCTAAAAACACACTAAGGTCTGAAGAAGCAGATACTGGTGGAGTAGATGGTGTATTTGGAGAGGTTGGTGCTGACACAGTTGATTCAAGATCAGTTTCAGCAATCCGACTAAAGCTCATTTTACATGGTTCTCTTTCTAATGGCGTTGGATGACCTCGTAAAGTGCCTGAGGTAGAGCCATGTCGGCCTGTATTAGGCCGTATTCCAGGAGATTTTAAAGAGAAAGTTGATTTCCTAGGCTAGGAAAAGCAAAGATAACTACCATTACTAATTTGCATGGACTTTATTTTTATCGCTTAATGCTACCTATTAATTCTTAGCATATAGTTAAGAGAGTACAATAAAATCCCAATCTGCAAACAGCCTGTAACATTCTAGTAGAACACTGTGGGATTTGATTGGCTTAATTTTAAGATGGACTTGAATACAAGTAAACCTCTTTTCATACTGCAGAAATAAAATTCTTGAAAATCTGTGTGAAAACTTGTTCCTCTCCAAACACTTGAACCTAAACTTCTTCAAATCATTGGTATCAATTTTACATGTATTTACTGTGGACATAATATATACAACATATGTTAGGTGCATCAAGAAAAACAAAAGACCTTTTTTTTTTTTTTCTTCCTAACAGTAAATGACCAACCTCCACAATGGTACTTTCAAGTTTTTGGAGAAAACTGCTGTTGTCTCCCACCCTCCACCTCCACACCCCCTTTTAAACTCTCACAGTGGTAACCTAATGAAAAAGCATGGAACTCAGATTCAGATAACTTGAGGTAAAATCTCTCCAGTGTGCTGATATCTAGCTTTGCAGCCTTAGAAAAGTTATTTAACAACTTTGGGCCTCAGTTTTTGCTTGTAAAATGAGAGTAAGACTGTATCATATAATTGTTGTGGAGATGAGATAACATCTTGCTGCTTGGCTCAAAGTAGGTTTTTTGTTTTTTGTTTTTTTTTAAAGATTTTATTTATTTGACAGAGAGAGACACAGCGAGAGAGGGAACACAAGCAGGGGGAGTGGGAGAGGGAGAA